TAACAACAGCCTCCCAAACAACCATCTAAACTATTCCATTTCAGCTTACAGTGAACCCTCTTCCTCCCCAATAGCAGTAAACTCTTTTTTTGTTCTGCATCAACATGTTTTAGATATCTCATGTCTATTGTTCAAAATAATGGTGAAATAGATGGAGATATTATTAGTAGAATTCAAGTTGCATAGTTGAATTGAAGGAATGCATCATGCCTATTGTGTGTTAGAAAGTACCCCTCAAACTTAAGGGAAAATTCTATAAGATGGTGGTGTGACTTGCAATTCTTTATGATGTAGAATGTTGGCCATTAAAAGAGAAGCATAAAATTAAGTGTTGTAAAGATGAGGATGCTCGAGTGGATGAGTGGATTTACACTTAGAGATCGAATGTGAAACAAGTATATATGTGAAAAGGTTAGAATAGCTCCAATGGAAGATAAGATTAGAGAGAGTTGCCTTAGATGGCTTGGCCACATAAAACATTTGCCTTCCAATGAGAGTAGATATGTCCTATATTAATAAAGGTAGAGAGATCTAAAAAGGCTTAGTTAGAAAGTATTAGAAATGACCCTTTTTATTAGATTTAAATGAGAATTTGACTCTTAATAGGATACAATATAGAAAAAAGATTCATTCAGCCAACCCCACGTAGTGGGATAAAGGCTTCATGTTGTTATTATAAATCAAGAAATTAAGAAAAAAACAAAGTAAATTTCAGTTTGGTTTGTAGATATAACAAAAAATTAATAAATACTACACAGGAGTTTCATTATCAGATTGCTTATTCGATTCAATAACTTCAATGGTATTAGTTTCACAGCTAGGGTCAGATTCATATTTTAATCAAAATTTAGGTTAAAAAATGGTCTCATCCTTAAATTCAATTTTAGATTTAGTTTGTAACTCTTGCTCAATTTTTAGGTTCAACTTTATGAACATGTTTTACCATATACTTTGGTGAAATTTAGATTTAATAAATCAGATGTTTAATCATATTAATTATAACTCTTTTCTTTTTTTCATCAATAGATCATTTGAAGAATATTCATTAACTCAAATTTTGTCTTGTCATTAATTTTTTGTGATGCTATGTGTTTATTTACCTTTATATGAGATGCTAAAGATTTTCTTAGAAATATTAATCATAGATGCAATAGTCTTAACATACGGATAATTGCAATGTTTATCAATCCTTAAAAGTCTTACAAGGTCTTATCGAATGCCTTTTGTACCATTGTTACTTAGTTCATATTTAATATTTTTCTTAAGATTTTTAATGAAACAAATAATTATAATGAAGTAATCTTCATGCAAATATTTGGCTACAAAATCTTTAAACTTCATAAAATATTTAAATACCTTATAATTACTTGTTTAAAGTTTTTAAATTTATCAAATACTTAATCCCCATAGCCATTAATTAATAATTATTATTTTTAATGTTTTGTATTTTTAAGGTTTTGTTCTATGTCATTCCATATATATTTTGATGTAGTTTTACCATTTTGCCAAAAATATGGAGTCCATTCTTTTTATTTTAACAAATTCAACTTTTTTAGGAATCAGACATTATATCTTTCATAAAATTCTCTTAAATTATTCGATCTCAACATACCCTAAGATTGTGCCTTGTGGTGATTATGTTGAATTTGTTTAGAATAATAGAATCATAGTTTCACCTTCAATACATACACCACAAATTCATAGCTTGATCAAGGCTCTGATGACCGGCTTAGCCTGTGGGCCCCACTAGTGTGGGCGACAAGCTAGGAGAGAGGGGGGGATTAAATGAGATTAATTTTATCTTTAATTATTTACCATAGAAAATCAAAATTAGGAGGAAATTAGGAAGGTTTATTAAAAAAAAGGAAGGTTTATTTAAGGCAAAAGGGCTAATTTTAATTCAGATTTGGGAGGGATTTAGAGAAAGAGGGCTGTTTGAATTCAGATTTTGGGGGGAATTAGGAAGGTTTATTTAGGGAAAGAATATTGATTTGAATTCAGATTTTGGAGGGAATTAATAAGGTTTATTTAGGGAAAGAGGTCTGATTTGAATTCAAATTTGGGAGGAAATTAGGAAGGTTTACTTAGGATTAATTAGGTTGTTTTACTTTCATCATGTGAATTGTGTTTTGCTGTAGAGTTGCTGCTAGTAGCGTCAAGGGTTTGTGAATAGTAGATTTACCTCTCGAATAGTAGATCAACTTGTATCTTGGTTTGTTGTGCTGATATCTTTTTCTTTTTTGCTAATTTTGTTGTGTTTTCTCTTTGTTATTGCTATTTTTGCTGTGTGGAGATCTGATTCCTACCAAATTGGTATCATACACCTTTTTTGGGACCTATGGCGGCTAAGAAGGTTGATGCGTTGGAGAATTTTTGGGTGCACTGCCTATGTTCATATTCACAGCCAAAATAGAGGAAAGTTAGATCAAAGAGCACTCAAATGCATCTTTGTTAGATATTCCGTCACTAAAAAAGGCTACAAGTGTTATCATCCTCTCACAAAAAAAAACCCTTGTCTTTGTTGATGTTATCTTTGATGAACAAAATTCATTTTTTACCAAACCTCCTCTTCAGGGGGAAACTGAAATTAAGGAAGATGAGGGAAGTGAGCTTGCCCCTCTTGACCTTCCTCCACCATCTCAAATCACTCTTTATGAAGTCAAAAGTCAAAAACAGGGAGATGGATGATAAAGTTGTCAATAGATTTGGGAATTTATACTCCAGATGTATACGTCCAAACTGCACTCTGAAGCGGATTTAAGAATCTGAGCCATATCCTAAAATTAAGGTAAATTCACCTCCTCCCATATACCCCATAATTAACTTTAGCTCCTTCAATAAATTCTCATAATCACATAGAAACTTCTTGGTTACTTTAGAAGAAATTCATGTTCCTAATAATGTTTCTGAGGCCTTATCTAATGAAAAATGGAAAAATGCCATGAAAGATGAAATGCAGGCTCTAGAAAAGAACAAAACTTGGGAAATCATCAACCTACCAAAAGAAAAAAAACCAATTGGCTACAAATGAGTATTCTTTGTAAAATACAATGTTGATGGGACACTGGAAAGGTACAAAGCAAGATTAGTGGCAAAAGGTTATATGCAAACATTGAAACATATGACATTCACTACCATGAAACCTTTGCACATGTAACCAAGATGAACATCGTCAGTATCTTATTCTCACTAGCAGCTAAATACAACTGGCATCTAGAACAATTAGATGTAAAAAATGCATTTCTATATGGGGACTTAGAGGAAGAGATATTTATTGAAATACCTGCATGATTCATAGAAAGATCCGGAGGTGACAAGGTATGCAAGTTGAAAAAAGTCCTATATGATTTAAAACAGTCACCTAGAGCCTGGTTTGGATGATTCTCCAAATTCATGTTTACTAATGGATATCAATATAGTCAAGAGGGCCATACACTATTCTTTAAACACTCAGACTCAAGGGGAGTCACAATATTGTTAGTGTACGTGGATGATATTATCTTGATTGTAAATAATGAAAAAGAGAAAGATAGTCTAAGGAAAATTCTTACCAAGGAATTTGACATCAAAGAACTTGATAGACTAAAATACTTTCTTGAAATCGAAGTAGCTCACTCCAGCAAAGGATCTTCATCTCACAACAAAAGTACATTAAAGATCTTCTTAAAAGAAACATAAAGACTAGCAGGTAAACCAACACCGACACCAATAGAACATAATCTCAAATTGGAAGATGCTAAAGAAGATCCATATGTAGATAAAGGAGCCTACCAAAGACTTTTGGGGAAGTTGTTCTAACTTTCCCACCCATACCAAATATAGCATTTGTTGTCAGCATGGTCAGTCAGTTTATGCAAAATCTAAAACAAGTCCATATGCAAGAAATATGCAGAATACTGCACTACCTTAAAGGTTACCCATAAAAGGGGTTCTCTTTAGAAGAGACCAAGAAATAATCCTAGAGGCATACACTGATGCTGATTATGCAGGATCACCAGTGGACATAAGATCTACTTCTGGGTACAGCATATTCCTTGGAGGAAACCTAGTCACATGGAGAAGCAAGAAGCAGAACGTGGTGGTAAGATCCTATGCAGAAGCATAATATAGAGCTATGACCCTGGGAATATGTGAGGTATTATGAATCAAAATGATTCTAGAAGATCTGAAGATCAAATGGGACAAACCCACAAAACTACATTGTGATAACAAATCAACAATTAACATAGCTCACAATCCAGTTCAACATGACAGGACCAAACACATAGAAGTTGACAGACATTTAATAAATGAAAAATTAGGCAGTTGACATATATGTATCAATCATGTACCATCAAAAGATCAATCTGCAGATATCCTTACCAAAGGAGTGGATATTGCTGTCTTTCTTAGAATGATATCCAAGATGGGAATGACAGATTCATACTTCCCAGCTTGAGGGGGAGTATTAGAATCCAGCCATTCAGGGCAAATAAGATCCAATGGTTACACTACATGATCAGTGGGACGTATGACTCATGCCAAAACTCTTTCCATTTCGGGTAGCTGATTTATGAAGGATTCTATTAGAATTATTCTGTAATTATTTGTTTTTGTATTAAGATTTCATGTATAGATCTATAAATAGAGAAGAAATCATGGAATAAAGTAAGTCTTTTCTTCTCAAACCTTTTGTTTTTTAACACATAACATAGATTCGATGATAACCGTCCACAAGCCATACAATAGCAGCACCTGCTTCGCTTAGGATTGAAGTTGCCACCTCAGCCGTGCTATTTCCTTTTTGAGGGAAAAAATCTGCACAAAATTTTTTCAATGGTCAAATTAAATTTTTGGTTATTTCTTATCTGAAAAAAGACTTGTTGTTGTTGTTGCTTGTCTGAAAAATATTATTATGCATTTCGTTTGCTTCATTAAAGCTGAGGCATATGTATTCATGCTTATTATCTTTTATATATATATTTTGTGATTAATATTCATTTATCTTTTTATTTGTGAAGTGTACAGGATTTACACAGCAGTTCTCTTTCATGGATCATTGCTGCACGTTATTTTTAATATGTTGGCACTTGTACCTCTGGGGACAGAGCTGGAGAGAATTATGGGTTCCGTTCGTCTGCTGTACCTGATGGTCTTGCTTGCTACAAGCAATGCTATTTTTCATCTCATTATTGCTTTAATTGTGGCGCACAATCCTCTACACTCATATCCATTTCTCATGCATGAGTGCGCCATTGGTTTCTCAGGAATAATATTTTCTATGATTGTTATAGAAACCAGCCTGAGTGGTATACAAACTAGAAGGTTGGTCTTCATTTGAATATAAAAGAAGTCTTTTCTGCAATACATGCTATTAATGACAGGTCATGTCATTTTCTTCAAGTTTCTTGTTTTGTTTATGAAATAATATCATTTTTGAGCTCCTGTATATTGCTTATGAATTTTGATAACCTACTCTTGTTTATTTTATATTTATGGTTTCAAAGTTTTTGTTTATTTTGTTTTTAACTTTGATTTATATTGCTCTTATTCTTGCAGCGTTTTTGGACTCTTCAATGTGCCTGCCAAGTGGTATGTGGCATATACATTAAATTGATCTTATTTGCCTTTCCATTCCTTGGATTTTCTCAACTAATTTATGAAGTGGAACTTCTTTTCAATGAATTAACAAAGATATAATATTTATGTACTAGGTATGCATGGATTCTGTTGGTACTGTTTCAACTTCTGGCAACAAATGTATCATTGTTGGGACACTTGTGTGGAATTTTATCAGGATTTGCATGTATGCTTTACCTTTTTCTTGCTTTCGTTACTCATGCTGCTTTTGTTGGATATTTAACTTATTTTTAGTATTGTTCTTCATTTTGCCCAGACTCCTATGGATTATTTAATTACCTATTACCTGGATCATCTTTTTATGGTGCCATTGAGAGCTCATCATTTTTAGTAAGTTATCTGAACTTTCTAATCATAGCTTCTTATATGAGTCAAACAAGGGGGTGCATGGAAATATTAATGTATTGATGATTTCATGCATCTAGGAGATAGCAGTAGTTAATAAAGTTTTTTTTGCCGCAAAATTCCTAGCACATTCAGATCAAAGTTCAATAATCATCAAATAATTCACACTGTTGGAGAGTTTATTCCTTGAAGCTTACTACATAATCATATGATGAATTTCAGTACTTAGAATAAAAGGATGTAGTGGTCTTCCTCTGTTGTGATTCAAAAAACATTGATACAGAACCAGAAAGAGAAGGGAAGATTAGGATAGAGAAGTTGAGTGGAGAAGAAATAGATGGATAGCTCCAGAGAAGATTAAGAAGAAGAAAAACTAAGACGTGTTGTTGTTGTTGTTGATGATATGTTTATTTGTTTATATTTCAATTATAACATCCCTTACTACCACATGCTCCAACATGTCTATGTACAATGAACCAGCTAATAGATGAAAACAACAAAGTTGGAAGATTGCTTTGAACTAATACTCTAGAAATCCACAAGTAAATGAAGATAATATTTCACAGCTAGTCTTACAGCTACGACGAGCTTTATTTGAAGATGATGCTGATAGTTATGACGATTTTGCATGCCATCTGGCCATGTTTGATGCCATTCGGCTATGCGAGTAAGCCCCTTTTAATTCTTTAATGGTGGGCCTTCTATATCTGGTTAGTGATTTGACCCATATAGTGCGATATCTATATTAATTTTAAATTGTTCTGCTATGTTTTGTATATCCTACCGTGATCGTGTAATATTCTGAACTTTTTTATTTCATTTTGAAAATTAAAAAAAATTGTTAACTTTGTGAAGGTGTTTGTTCTAGCTTAAAAAAATAACCACTGATTAATTTTGGTTGCTCAATTTATGAGACCATGATCTGTTCCCAAATCATCACCGCACAACTTGATTTAGATATGATGATAGTTTTTCTAGCTTTCAAATTTTTGATCACTGAAGATCTCGGTCTATCATTGTTGGCCTACCCATTATCCTTAGCCCATGTAATCTAAACCAATCTCAAACTTTAGACCTAGATCTAGCTGTCTGATTTAGATTATTTACTTTTAACTTAATTATTTCCTTAATTATTATCCAAATACATACAGTTAGAGCCTAGTTAGATAATGTATCATAATCAATAATCAATTATCAAACTGATGTTTAAGCCGTTGAGTTACTAATCTTTTAAGCCCGAGACAAATTGTTTTGACAGAGATTACACTTATTTATTATCATATACTTTTTTCGTATAAAGGTCAAAGAAATTTACTTATAAGAGGGTTATTGATAGGAAATAGAAGCCCTTTTCACAAAAATCAGCAGATGAACAAGAAATATTGGGAAGAAAAATACTCACAAACAATTCTTTATTTGAAGATTAAGCAATGAAAAGCAAGATACAATAGGATCCTCAATTGGAGGAGGATCTGGCTCTCCCAATTCTATAGGCGCCGGATAGAGTCCAAAACACCCTAAGAACACTATAATTTCAGCAAACAAGAGATAACCTTAACCCTAGGGAAGAATCTCACTTAAAGCATACAATAATAAAGTAAATCCTGAAACAACTCATTTTGAATTTTCCGGCCGGTCCTCCATGATGGACCGGCCGGACCGGTCTAACAATTGGCTACAACAAAACAGCTCGGAAGTGCTAGAAATGGCGCCATAAAGTTGTTTGTTTCCCCATGTTTCAAATCGCAGCACCCTTTCGAAATGAATTATTGATGCTTTGATACTAAATGTAATTTTCTTTTGTAGTCTAAACTTTAAACTTGACTTTTAACCGGACACAATGGCGAAAAAGGATTCATGTAGCCGACCCCACATAGTGGGACAAAAAGCTTGATGTTATTGTTGTTGTAGTCTAAGCTTTAAACTGCATAATATTTTTGACAGAAGAGGCTGATCAAGGGTAATCATGATTGGGGTAAAAAATACTTGAACAAACATAATGTATAAATAAGGGAACACAATGATTTTAAATCAGAAGTGACAACAGTAAAATATTTTTCAACCAATTTTCCATATCCAAAAATCTAATCTATTGAGTGATGTATGATTCTGCCTTGTGTGAACCTTGATATTGAACTTGAAGGACTATCCATAAATTTAACCGATTGAGTGTTGAGTGTTCCTATCTTAATATGAACCTTGATGTTGAACTTGAAAGACTAATGAAGTGTATTAGAATTTGCTGTGATTGCTTATCTAATAAAATCAGGAGTCATTTCTCATTTATCAGGCTTAATTCATTTATGCTCTACATTGTTAATTATCAGGAAATATAGTTTCTTCCTGTCCCTGTTCATGAAGTTCTTATTGACATGTCATCACTCCAACTGCTGTTGCTATCTAATGTATTGTCTACCAACGAATGTACCAATCTTGATTTGGTATGACCAATTTTGCGTAGTTAACTGATGAGATTCTGATAAAGGCATGCATATATTCCACGCTATGATTTTTTTGACAATAACTCCACGAATAAATTGTGAAGGTTTTGTTAATTTGCTAAATTAGTAATAATTCTAATCATAAGTCACAAACAACAACATTATCACAACAACAACAACAACATTTGTCCCACTACGTGGGGTCGGTAAGCTATATACCTATCCACTTGGGCAATTCAAAATTGTATGTCCCATGGATAGTTGGTACAGGAAATTTTAATATGATAGTTGTTTTGTATGGTCTTGTAAGTTTATGCATTCGACCTCAATCATTTATGATTATTGCTAATGCTTACATTAGCATTGAAAATAAAACAAGATAAGCATAACTACTAGAACCAACATACTTGCGAAGAAAAATATATTTATGTAATAATATAACCCATATTGCTAACTTGATAGTGATTGTATAGAAAATGATTTTTTTAACTGTACCTCTAAAAAAGTGATATATTGATATCACAGCATGGCGATCTAGCTGCAGAGTTTCAACAAATTTCTGAGAATTTACCGTAATCATCATTTTAAATTACCCGTATACCTATTGTAGTTGGCAGAGATCATTCTTACCTTAAATGTATTCTTACTTTTGGAAATCAACTTCTAGAATATTAAGTTGCGTATTAAATATTTGACATGCTGGTCTTCCAAGTTATGTTAAGATGATTCCACGTTTTGTTTTAGTCAGCATGTATCAGGCGTCCTGGATTTATTCTGTGTAGTGGAGGTGCTACATATGGTAACCTGCCAACACATTTAAATTCAAATACTGCTTCAAGGTAAATTTATCTTTCAATTTTGTTAGTAATATAAGATTTGGTGAAATAATATGCCACTTCTTTCTTGAAGCAGTGGCCTAGTTTCAGAGAACTTGTGGAGAAATATTACTTCATGGATGCCACAAAGGGAAACAACTACCAATCAGGTAATATGTTGCAGTCAATTGAAATGATTAAGTGGTGGGATGGATAGCAATTTAGTTTATTCATCAGTTTGTGGTACTACACTTGTTGATAGTATGTATTCGGCAGTTAGTATTCATGTAATTATGTTAAAAAACTTTCTATCATTGTGACTTTAAAGTTATCATGGATGTGAATAGGGTTGTGAACATGTCCCCTAAATAGATGCTTGCTTTAAAATAAGATTATTTTCAGGTTGAAATTAAGCACTATCAAAATCAATGACCAACGGATAAGCTTAGCCCAGTTTGAATCAAACTTGAATTGAGCTGAGCTTGAATCAAATTATGCCAACTTAATATATATATTTGTGACAATGTGTTGGTTGTACTAATAATTTGCCTTAAAAGTTTGAAAGTCCAACAATAGCATCAAGCCTTTATCCCAGTGTGGGGTCGGTTACATGAATAAATTTTTTTTTCTCTGTCATTTTAAGAGTTAAATTCTCATTAAATCTTATAAAAAATCATTTATAATATTTTATAACCAAGTCTTTTTAGGTCTACCTTTTTCTTTCTTAGCATAAGCCAAATCTAATACATCTACTGTCCTAACTGGGTCATCAGAAGGCTCATCACCATTTTATAGAATTTTCCCTTTAGTTTGAGGGGTACTTTTCTATCACACAACAGACCCAATGCATTCCTCCACTTCAACCATTCAACTTGAATTCTGCTAATAATATTCTCGTATATTTCACCATCACTTCAAACAATGGACCTGAGATATCTAAAATGTATACTCTTATTAATGACTAGATTGCCCAAAGTCACATTTCCTTACTAGATCTATTACTGTTAAAATTACACTCAATGTATTCAGTTTTAGATCTACTCAAACAAAAATCTTTAAACTCTAAGGTTGACCTCCATAATTCAAGTTTATTCTAGTCTTATCAACAAGAAGAATATCATTAGTAAAAAGCATACACCAGGGTACATCCTCTTGCAAATGTCTAGTAAGAACATCCATGACTAAATAAAAAAGATGTTAGCTTAAAACTGATCCTTGGTGTAATCCAACTGAATAGGAAAATACTTGGTCAAATCACCTTGTGTTTGAACACAAGTAACAACTCCTACATACATATGTTTAATGACTTGAATATAAACATTATTAAACCCTATCTTTTCTAGAACTCTCCAAAGCACTTCTTATGGAACATTTTCATAAGCTTCTCTAAATCAATAAATATCATATGTATATCCTCCTTATTCTCTCTATACTTCACCATCAAACCTCTTAATAAATTTATAACTTCCATAGTAGATCTTCCTGGCATGAATCCAAATTTATTTTGAAAAACATTAGTATCACGTCATAACCTATGCTAATTAACTCTCTACCTTAGTTTTAAATTATGACACATTAACTTAATTCATATTTAATGCTTACACTCTTGTGCATCACCTTTATTCTTAAAATAGGAATTAACATACTCCACTCGTCTGGCATCTTTTTAGTCTTCAAAATATTATTGAAAAGTTTCGTAAGCCAAGAAAAAATTAAAAAGTTCAAAAGTCCATTGAAAATAAATAAGCCCAACTTGGCAAGATCATGTTGTACCAGCTTGTCAGCTGGTTGTTTCGTGGCTGAAGATAGGATGAATTTGAGCCCAAATGACTCGAGATTGGAGCAGTCATAACCCTAGGTCTAAAGGGTGATTTAGGTATTCAAATGCCGTAATAAATATGTTTTTAGAAAAGCATACCATTTGTATAGTTTAGCCGGTTCCATTATACAAAGGCGTATGGATGGTGTGATCATCTCCATCTCAATCCAGAAGGAATTAAAATTTCATTTTACCAGTAAAACCTTGTTTAAACTGGTGAACTGTGAAGCAATTTGATGTCTTCAGTTTCCTTTTTTTTTTATTTTCACTCCTTTTGCTTCACCTTCCTAACCTAATCATGGGAATCCTATTCCCAGTCATTATCAGACCTAATTATGACAACCATCCGATCAAATTATATTTTTGCTGCGACTTTGTGGTTGATTAGTTATTTTTACTTTGTTAGTGGTTTATGTTTAAACAAATGTGTGCTTTCTTTTAGCCACATTTGAAGTTGTCCACGATGTAACAAATTTTTTTTTTCTTATTTGATGTAATTTCTGTAGGATCTCTTTTTTATTTTATGATGAAATGAAGTTTGAAAATTGAGATTTGTAAGTAGTTGCCTCTCTTTATCTTTCCTGCCCTCTCTCTCTCTCTCTCTCTCAGACTATCTTTCTTTTCCTTGTCTCTTTTCACATGTTGAAACTGCCCCTCCAATTCTCTCTTCCCTACAATCCCCTTCTCCCATCATCAAGATGAACCCGATCTTGCCCTGCACGCGATTTCAACCAACCCCACATGCAAACCTTAACCCTAACTCCTCCTTCCACTGCTTCTGCATTCTCTCCCAGTATTCTTAGCCTGTAACCGGTTCCTCCTCACTCAAACTGTTCTCTCTGCTTTTGCTACGCTAATTCCTTCTTCTGCAATCCATTGCTAACCAACAAGAAATCAAGGATTCTTTATTTTTCTCTTTCACTTGTGCATCACCTAACGCCTTTATATTTCTCTTCATTAGGTTAGTACTTTTGTACTTACCGTTGTATATGCTTGCCTCCATGGCATCATCACAGTTGTGATTTGTATTATAATGCATATATTCCCGCTACTGCCATCTTGGATTCATCAGCTTACGTCTCCTCAGAAATTCCAGACGAATCCCCAACAAACACCACCCCACCTCAAGTGGTGAACCCCAAAATTATAAAAAAATGAAAAATCTATAATACTTTTCAAGGCAAATTGGATGGGTGCTGATTCATTTAAAATGAGGATTGGGCATTGTGAACCATTTATGATTAAGAAAGAATGGCAGTATTTTCCCTATGTATAAGCATATATGTGCATTCCTGCTTGCGTCATCATGTGAAATTGGACTGGCTGTCAGATTAATCAAAATAGTCAAATTCAATTTATTGAACCACAACATAGCAAGAAGCTGCTAACTATTATGTTCTCTGCACCTCAGTAACATTAACTTCTATGTTGAAATTATGGCCCTGTTGGATTGTGATGTTTGGAAAGACATTTATGGCATTTTTGTGGAACCCTTAACTTATACTGTTTTAGCAATGACAGGTAGACCTTTGCTTATAGAAAAAAAAAAGAATTTTTTGTGTGGAATGTTTGTGAAAATAAAACAACATTATATTGCTCTATGGTGTTTCCATGAGGCAATTCTAGACTGATTCATGATGATTTCACGTCATTTTAAATAGTATGATAAATCAATTTAAAAGTCAGTTTTTAGTATAAATCATATTTTTTTTCATGGTTTCAGCTTATATTCTCTTAGTTTTTTTTTTCTTCCAAGAATTAACTTCTACAAAATAAAAAGAAAAAAAAATTCAACTTATATCATTGCAACTATCTTACTATCTTAAGGATTATATATATTGGTGGAAGTTAAAACACCTTTCTTTCCTATGCATGGGAACTGCTCTGACCTTAGTTCATTTTTCTTGGATATTCTAGCCCAGAAAGCATGCTACTTAAAATGGAAGTGTCAATATATGCAAAAAAGAAAGAAAGAAAGTGTCAAGTATATCTTCATTTTTCAAGGCATGTTTCAGTATTCTATGTGAACTAATGCTGGTTATTTTTTCCATCCCGTGCCTCTCTCTTTCTCTCTCATCTTGGCGTTTGTTTGTTCCTCCTTTCTCCCCCCTCTTACTACCTCCTTTCCCTTCCCACTCTCTTGTAAAATTAATTTTTTTTTCTGCACTTGCCGTTTATTAACCAAGCTAATCGGATTTCACTTTCTAGCTTTGCTGCTATTTTGAATTTCATCTAGGTCTGTGCAGTACAAGTCATTTGGAGCCACTTTTCGGATAGCTTGGTATGATGTAGCCTTGGTTTTAGGCCGTGTATTTTTAGACATTGCCCAATAGGGGTGTAAGTGCGCGAGCTTAAACGAGAGCTCGTTTGCTAAACGAGCTCGAGTTCGAGCTCGGTGAGAGCTCGCGAGCCAAGCTCAATTGATTATTTGAATTAAAAAAAATATAAATGACCGAAGGCGGTAATTCAAAATGAAGAAGGCGGGTTATCGGGTGGGAATTCCAAAAAACTCAAGCTGCAATTCGGTATTTCCTACCATAAAATAATATATAATGTTACTTTTATTTGAATCTAACCAATGAAAACTGCTGAGCTTGCTTTTATTTTTTTTTGGGAAAGGTAAAAAGCTGCAGCTTACTTTTACTTTTTTTGGGGAAAGGTAAAAAGCTGCAGCAAGCTCTTCTCTTCTCCCTATATGAAAAAATATATTTTATTTTTCAATGTCTTCTCCGATGGCAAGCTCGACGGGATGACGCGGATGAGGACGACTCGCTCGAAGGCTGCTCGGACCGCCGAGGCTCACGAGCCGGCTCGAACTCGATAATAGTGGGACGAGCTCGAACTCGAGCTCGCCTTTCGAGCTTGAGCTCGCTTTCCGGCTGACGAGCTGAGCTCGATAGTGTCAAAACTCGACTCGTTTACACCCATACTGCCCAAGTAGGGATGAGTTTACAATTGAGAAGATTGATGTAGAAAGTTTTAGAAGAGTCTAGAAATAGATAGGATGCAAGTAAAAATACTTGATTGTGGAGGGAGAAGTACACAAGGTTATTACAGAAAAGAAATATGTTTTCAAAGAATGGAAAAGAATAAATTTGATTTATGATTATAGTCAGAAACTTTTAAATCTTGTGTTGACCTTGATTTTCACTCAGATCCTTGGGTCAAAGGGTTGAATTGGTCAAATTGACCAAGCCAGGCCCCAAGACCATCTCCCTTGTACTCAATGGGTCAAGCCTAGTCTATGGAGCCCAGACCGAGGCCTTGGGTCAACATGGTTGATCAGGTCAACCTAGGTTGACCCAAATTGACCCAATTCAATTCCTCTTGATTTCAAATCAAATCCACTTC